GTTAAAGTTTCGTTGGAACGAAGTTACGGAAAAATCAATTAACAAACGGAGACGTAACAATATCAAAATTGAATGTTGAACTTTGCCTGTGTGTGCAGCTTTCCAAACAGGAGAACGAATGCTCAGACAGACATCACAGCTTGCAATATACACATGATGAGTGAATTCTCCTTGGTGACATCTTTGTATCTGATATTTTTGAGTCGACTCCAATCTTATGGTGTTATATTCTAGTGTGTCCAGTACTATTGTGTTGTTGCCTTTGTCTGCTGGTAGGTAATTATTACAGGGTCACTATTAAAATATTAATGGCTTTTATTTTTGCTATTCAGAGGTTTAGTTTTGGTGATTTGGTTCTCCTAAGAATGGAGAAGGTTTGATGTCTGAATTGTTCTGCTACTGCCAGCATTAATTATGGGCAGCTTAGTAGATGGTATGGCAAAATCAAAGCTTAGGGTATGTACTTTAATCTTTTATTCAGAGCATTTTTGAAAATCAGATTAGTGAGTGTGGCTGTAACCAGTTTGTACATGCAGATGTCCATTTAATTTGTTGAGGTATTTCAGACTTATAATTATTTTGTCTAATGTGTTTTACTAAGATAGCTTCTGAGATGGAGTTTCCACATCTTAAGGATATCCAAGGTTAAAACAAAGGTTTCATTATAATGATTGTGCAAGAAAGTGAGTAGTTTCTATTTCTTCTTTCTGTGAACTTCAATTTGTATAATTTGTAGTTATAATTCTAGGTACTTACACCAGCCTGTAATAGCTTCTGAAGTGATTCTAGATTCTGTTTTAGTTCTTAGGAGAAGCTTAAATTGTCTCCGATCAACTGCCATTTTTATTCTATTCATTATTCCATATTAAAACATATGTTTTCTGAAAATTTGTAAATTTTGGCAGAGCTTTGCCTTCTTTAACTTCAATTATATAATTAACTCTTTGCATTATTTCAATAATTAGTAAATAAAGCCTAAAGAATTGTCCTGATCACCATTTTTAGATAATTGTATATATATATATATTTTAACATAGTATCAAAACTATTCTCTTACTTTTTGTCCATCTTGTCCTGGTACACCTCTTTCACCTCTTTCTCCTTTGTTCCCCTTGATATAAAAGACCAGTTTAAACATCACAATAAAACATACCACAAAAAACTGATTAAAATACTTTAGAAATAAATTCAAACTACCTCTGTCTTAGTTGGTCTCCTGTTTCTCCTCCTTCCCTTACTTTCCAAAAGAGAAAAACTTCCACTCATACATCACAGTAACATGTCACTGCATTAACAAGGACAAAATAGGACCAGCATGAGCTTAGCTTATTTTGTAATAACTAGTGTGGTGTAATATTCCTGTCATATAGTTATGAATGCCTTTCCTGAAAAAAGGCTAAAAATCTTTTAAAGTATAATGTATCTATTTTAAAAATTAAAAAAGCTTCATTTGCTTCTTGTGATTGGTTTGATTATCAGAATTTCATTGGTCAGAAATAATATATGTTCTTTAATTGGTTTGTAAAATTTCATTAGCCAATGATTATGGTCTCATATTTCATTCATAGAATAAAATACAGTCTGTAGTTGGCTTCCCAAATTTCATTAATCAAATAAGCTACAGCTTGTAGTTAATTTCCAAGATTTCATTGATCTTTGGTTATTTTCTCACCGAATGGTAGGCTAAACTACAATCTTTAGGTGTTTCTAAGGTTTCTTGGCTTCTAAACAATTTATCATATTTAATTCATAGGTTAAACTATAGTCTCTAACTGGTTATCCAAATTTCACTTACCTGTGATTATTTTCAAATATTTCATTTACTGGCTAACTAATTCTTGAAGTTGATTTCTCACATATTCAATATCATTGGTTCATCAAGACTAGGTATAACAGTTAAGCCAAGAGAAATTAAACAAACCTTTGTTCCAGTAAGTCCGGATGCACCAAGATCTCCTTTTTCTCCCTTTTGTCCCTGTTTAAAAAACAAAACAAATATTAAAATTATATACACCTTACATTTTCTAGAAAAATAAGTTTTGAATATTATTATTTTCTTTCTGTAAATAAATGATGCATATCTCCAGTTAAGTGAAATACTCATTTTATTTACATTCTTTATCATAGGTTTTATATCTTTATCAAAGACTACAGCTGCTTATGAGGCTTGGCTATAACTGAAAAGAAGAACATGTTTTTGAATAGGAAATGTGACATGCGATCATGTATGTTAACACTACAATAATATTTATTCATAAGTAATATTTTGAAACAGAAGTATCAGGAATTTTACATTGATAATATACATATGCATAAATACATTCATATGTATATATATATATATACTCAATTTTGTCTTAATGGACATATGATTTTATGTATAGATAACACATGTGAAAATAGTTTGCTTTATATGGTTATGTGCTTGATGCTTAATTCATGAGTTTATAAAATTTCTGTGTAAAACACTAGATTTATATCAAAACTCCCACTTGTACAAAAATATATGTTTCACAAGAGAGAATGGTACTGGCTAACAAAGTCTTGAAAATAAGATGGTTTATCAACTGAAGTAAACAGTGTGTGGAGAAATCTATATAGGACAAAAATCTTTACATACTGGAATTGATAACCATGTACAAGCACTAAACAAAAATTTCCCCTGTAGAGAACCACCTCAATCATTGCAGCACTGCCTCTATGATGTACTGTGCTCATTTGTGGTTGAAATTATAGCAAAAACCAAACACTATAAAATAATGAAAGTACTCAGAAGCCATATAAATTAGAGAGAACAGTGCACCCCCCCCCAAATTACAGAGATTAAAATTGGTATCTGTAGGGGTCTTCAAATATTTTAAATATCAATGTGCAACATGTACATCCACATAGAAGTAAATCAAGATACATCTTTCCTTCCTAAGTATGATGTTTTACATTAGAAATTTACGAATCAAGCTCATAGTTAAACTTGTATAAATCTATATATATATTATTATTCTAATATTGCTAATACTGTTCCTTCATAACAATATTTACATTTATTTTGAAAGCTCACTATCAATTTATTAATGAGTGTTATATTACTGCAACAATGATATGTATAAGACCATATATCACATTTCTTATTTAAACAGTGTTTTTGCCAGTTACAGCTGAACTCAAAAGTAGCACTGTAACCCTCGATAAAGGTGTAAAATATTGGAACATAACTAAAATGAATATCTATTTATCTGAAGATAAGGGTCTTTAACTTATAAAATGGATAAAGAAATTTGATGCATTACATACTCTGAAATTAGAAAATCATAATTTTTCTTTTTTGTTTTAATTCTGATAGTTTCAGACCTGATAAAGTAAATCAAAAATTTAGGTATTTTGATGTTGGATTTTATTAGATCCTCATAGCTAAACTGCCTTTCAGAAAGAAAGTATATTCATCAAATTAAAAGAAGAATAAAGTATATTGTCATGGCAGATTTAACATGTTATAACCACTAGATCCATGAATCTGTAGCAAATTTTGTGCATGTCTTCCTGTAAGTTCAAGAAAAGGTTTGAGGAGTAGAAGCAACTGTAATCACATATCCTCTGTATTATTTTAACCTCTCTATTAATACTTGTAATGTGAAAAACAAAGGGTATATAAATCATTGTGGCATGTTATTACAGATTATTTATCCTCTCTGCCATCTTGTTATTCACAAGTTAATTTTAATTTATAATCAAAGAGACAAGCTTATAATTATATATAGCCAAAATAATCTCCAAAATAAAATTAAACAATTAGTTTCCTTCATTATCTTTAAACAATTAGTTGTTTCCATATACTCATATTTATATAGTTTAATAAGTGATTAAAGGGCTGATTCCATTAAAAAATTCAAATCTGGTTAATTTCATGTATGTAACTAAAACGCTGTTTGATGTCAAATTAAAAAGTATTTCATTTTTATCACCACATTTTTGTTATCCATTTTAGAAAGTTTATTTTAGTCCTATAGAAACTATACATACAAGCTGATAATGTACAGTTAGTTTTGGTGGTCATATTTTACAATATTACATTTTACAATAACAGCATTAACTAGCACAATGTATATATATATACAAACACAACTGAACTGAAATTGCAGATTACTTGCAAAGATATATGCCTTGATCTTCTTGCACTGTATTAAATTATTCATACAACCAATATCACCTAATTAAAAAAGAAATTGCCAGCAAAGTTTAATGTTTTGCAGCACTTATAACATATACAAGTTAATTTACTATGCCATCCTTTTAATAATGAAATGAGTATCCAGGCTAATTAGCATATCACCTTTACACCAGGAAGTCCAGGTTCTCCTGTTTCACCAGCTGATCCTGGAGGTCCCTGTGTGGAGAAGATTATGAAAAGTTTCAGGAAAAAAAATAGCTCAACAGTAACATAATAAATATAGAGGTTGAGTATATTGTATTGGAATAATTTTGGAGCTTCACTGCATCGTTACAGTTCATGTACCCACATCTGGCCATCTTCTCTCTCTGATGACTGGGCATCTTGAAACAGCTCTGCAGTGTAGGTTTCATTACAAAAAGCTCTGTCATAAGGTTATCATGTCCGAAGCACACCATTCCTTCCTTCAATCTTTCCATAATTAAATGTTTTTAAAAATGCACAATACTTTATTGTATAAAGTTCAAATCAAATATAAAACTAAAAAACTCTACGCTTTGGTGGAACATGCACCACCATCTTCAGCAAACAACAAAAACATGAAATTTCAGTTACATACCTAAAAGTAAGTACAAATGTACAACGTACATAGCGTATAGTGGCGCCAATTAAAAAATTGACTTCCAGAAAATCACTTCCGTGGTACCAGGACTTAAATCTCTAGTCAAAATCTTTTTTTTTACTATTTCTAATGATTCTCTTATGTTTAATTCATTTTCTTGACTTTACTTATTTAAAGATTTGTATATCATCCCAATCAATATTATGTGAAAAGTTCGTCACATGTTCCACCAAGGCCAAATCACTAGTTTTTAATTTATCAAAGACATTTTTGTGTTCTTTAATTCTATTACGCCTCCGGTCGTTAGTTAATTTTCCGTAAAAATTCTTTCCGATACAAGTCCTTTCTTAAATAAAACTGGTTTATTCTTTCTCAATTTAACTTTACGATACACTTAATTTCAACAGTCGCGCTATAACAAACGCTGTAATTAACAACGAACTTCTCACGTGCTCAACGATATTGTGTCCGCATACATTCAATTACTCATTACATTGCCTCCGTCACGTTGTGACTGTCTTATATATAAAAGAATACCGAGATCTAGTGAACTCCCGATATTTCATGAAGGTTCGAGAAAGAAGTGGCGTGATACAAGCGTCACGTGACCTGCGTTATCGTAACACTGCCCCTTCCTTAGTATTGTTCGTCCCGAACAATAGCCATTTACATTAAACCAATAACAATTAACAATAACGTAATTAAATGTACAGAATTACAAACACAAAATTACAATTCAACAAAGTCTCTTAATTTTACTGGACGTACTGGTCTCCGTCTCGTTGGCTTCTGCTTCATATGGGGTTAATCTGCTTCATCAGGAAATGTCCTATCGTCGATAACAGTCACATCAGTGATAGTAACTTCATCAAGAGCTTCACCGTTTCCCTTCTCAAAACTGAGTAGAGTTTCTTCTTCGACGGTGGCTTTTTCAGGTGACACGTCTTCAGCAGCATCATTTGTTCTGTTGTTCACTTCTCCCAACTGAAATGTCCTTGACCGTGATAACGCCAAAGCCTGTTGGCATGCACCACTTTTGGCTTACCTCGCCGACCACATTTTAATCCGGAAAGTCACGTCCGAGAGACGATCCACTATGTCATATGGGCCTTCCCATGGAGAAGACAACTTAGGAGACTTCCCTTTGGTCTTCCTGGGATTACACAACCATACCTTGTCTCCTGGTACAAAGCTGACTTCAGTAGATCTCTTATCATAAGATAGCTTCATCGATTCAGCAGACGTTTTCAAGTTTGTACGCACTTGATGGTGAATATCATCCATCCTTTCCGATAACACTTTCACAAACTCTGACATTTTCGCAGGCAACTCTTCATCATTTGGGCATCCCTTATGCTTGGGTCCCCTTTTAGCACTACATGTACTGCATGTCCTGCACCATTCTTCCACATCTCGCCTCATACCTATCCAGTAAAATCGTTGTCATATGTGACATAATGTCTTCTTAATTCCGAGATGTCCTCCTGTTATATTATCATGGGATCGACGCAGCACAACTTCCCGTAACTTCCTCGGTATAACTGTTTGCCAAGTCGTCACTTTCCCATCTGTAGTTTCCCATCTCCGGACAAGAATACCATTTTCAAGATTCAACTGCTCCCATTTCGCCCAATAGTGCTTTATCACAGGGCTTAGACTAGACACCTTCTCCCAAGCAGGGCGCAAAACACTTATTTTTAGAAAATCAATTATAGGCATCAAATCTTGGTCTTTCTCCTGTTCTGCCTTGATATCGATACCTGGTTC